ACCCGACTGTTTCTCGATGACTAGATCACATGAAGATGCAACAAAATGCTCGAGTCACTGGTTGTAGAACCCATACCGTTTAGCCAGCTCAACAAATACACGTGGGAATGAGAAAATTCAAACGTCTTACCTTTTAGTGAAATATATCTTGACCGTATTGAAGTTAACAGTTAACTACTCAGTAACAAATACATAATATTAATATTTTAATCAATAAAATTATACTCGTGTGATGTTAGGGTTAGCGAAAGAATGGAATTTATATATCACATGGCTCTGAATTTTATACTATATTAATAACATCAACCGACACTATAGTGGGTTTATATTATACTCTCACATTAATACTTTAATCTATAAATTAACTAATTAAAACATTATAATAATTCTAGGATTAAGCTAACGACCAAGATAATGTCAGTTGTCTCACCCTTTGCTCTTCCCAAGAAATTAATATCTTAATATTTAATTACCAAAAAAGAAAGCCCTTGAAACACTTGTGCAAATTCAATGAATCATTCTAATATTAAAATATTAGTTATGTTTTGGGGAAATTAATTTTGCATTTTTAGCCCCCACTAGTTATATTTTTATAATTACTATTTTAATTAACTATTTATATAATATATATATTATCCAAACATTCATTCTCAATATTCCTTTTGTAAATAAAAACACGTTTAAATTTTTATTAAAAAAAAATATCAGCATGGTAATAACCCCCCGCCATTACGGATAAATATTGTCCATTTTAATTAGTTATATATCGTTGTTGTCAGTGTCACAATTTTAAAATATGTCGGTTAAAAAGAAGTTTCCACGTAATGTTTCATTCTCCTCTCCAATCGATATGGAATCTCGCAAATAACAAGGATTATAAGAAAAGAAATTAAGAAAAAAGCAAATATGTGGAGTACTATGTTACCAACCTCTTTTTTATACCTAACATTTCACTTTTATCCTTTGTCTTTTTTTATATTTTCATTTATACCCTCTTATTCCGCATTAATCACAATTTTAACCTTTTGGTTTCTTAATAATGAGGTGAATTTAGATTCAGCCATATCGTTTTAAATTACTGTCACGTTGATTTTTCATCTATATAAAGTTTACATATAATTAAATCAATTATCATTTTAAAGCTATAATTATTAAGAATATAACTACTCTCAATTATTAAGAATATAAACTTACAAATTAAAGCTAAAAAAATTATAAGGAACTAAAAATGAAATTAATTAGGATTGTAATTAGAGATAATTATGATTAGATTTGGAGAGGAAATGAAAGTCCCTTTCATGTTAGTTACTTTGGTAAACACAAAATGGGATTCCAATACCATTAAAGATGGTGTAAATCAATTTGACATTCAACAATAACATTTTTTTTTTCTTTTTTTTCCTATGAAAGACAAATAATTAGTCTACAAATGGACCCCAAAAATAAAGCTACGTGGAAAAGTAATTTCATCCTTTTGTAGGGTTTAAATTAAACGGTGAACAAAACTCGATATATAACATACAGATAGTATTCATTGCTTATAAAGTCATGATTTTCATCTTAATTAATCAATGTGGGACTATTCCCTTCAATAATCTTCAACATTAGTATATGCTTAGGTGAGTTCTTAAGATTATGGTTGGATTTATAGTGAGTTTAAGCTTAGCTAGTTTGTAGCACTAGGGATGAATTGAGCACTTCTCAAATTAATTTAAGATTTTTAGTGTAAGGGGTAATGTTATATGTTTTAGGCACAACTTCATTAAGGCACTTAGACATGTTTTACTCACTTTTTGACCACTTTGTTGGTTTGGAGAGGTGCACTACACACTTTATCATCATTTCCTCGTCGTTTCGATTTCAAAGGCTACGTACGCACGTTCAAAACACTTATATCTAGAAAGAGGAGATAATAATGATCGACGGAAAACATATAGGCTCAAGATTTTAAGTAGACTATAAATTTGTTATCGAAGAGAGTGTTTGCATCATTAGATACTAGAGGTGTATATTGAATTCGACAACTCGAACCAATCCAACCCGAATTATAGTGGTTGGGTTGGGTTCATTTTTTCTAAACCCTTTAGTTTCAAGTTCATGGGACAAAATATTCGAAAAACGAAACTGAAAAATGTTAAGATTTTAAACGGACTATAAAACGAAACTAAAACTAAACATAAATAGATTAAAATGATAACTCGACCGTCTTCTAGATACATATGTACGTGACAAAAGGGAATAGTGTAATTAAATAAATAAATAAATAAATAAAAGTATATAAAAGAAATAAAATATATTGCTTTAAATTTTCTACGCCCATCACGTTCACTAGGTTTGGGGGTTTTTGAAGCATGCGCACGCAGCCTTTGTTGAAAACAAACCCATCATTCCCCAACATATATAACCCATTATAAATTATAAATTAATTAATTTTTTTAAAAAAATATAATTATTAAAGACTATGATATAATATTAAATTTTGAATTTTTTTAAAATTATATTAAATACATTTTTTTCTTATGAAATATATTTATTTATTAAAATAATCAATAAATATTTTTAAAAGAATAATATTGAGAATTTTGTTTAAATATAATTTAAGTTTAATTAATGAAATTGGAATTATTAAACACAAAAGGTCCGAACAAAACGTACCGTTTTTTACGCAAAAAAGGTAAGGGGAGAGGGGCCTCTCATATTCCGCACGTGTAAAATTATCCATTAATATATATATTGGGTTAACTTCCATAAACCAAACTAAAGGCCCTACATTTTTTATATTTAAATTTTCACCCCTCATAATTATTATTCTTTTCACATCTATCCTGGCACTATTCTTTTTTTGCATTAATCTACTTTTCTAAAAAGTCCCTCCTAATATGGACTCTTTTCATTATGCGTTACTACAAAAAGTTATGCAATTTCAAAAGTCCCTCACCTATATTTCCATAAATTAGATTCACCAAATAATCAATCATTAATTATAAGGTTAAATTTTATTTTAAAAATTAAAAGAACAGAGACTTATGAAATTATCATAATTATATTTTGTTGTTCGTTATAGGGGCTAAACCCTCATCTAGCCTTAAACTCGAGAGCCATTAGAGTTATAATGTCAAATCTGCAATATTAGGGTTATCGTTAATTTTAAATTGAAAATTTAAAGGTGTAATTATAGCAATTTAAGAGATTTTCTAAATAATTTTCGAATTTATTTTATCTTTAATTTTTGTTTGTAATATATATATATATATATATATGTTCCCTAGACTACAAAATAATTTGCCATATATATAACATTCCCATCAACTCAACTAACATTAATTTGAAAAATATGTCACATCTACCTTTAATGTAATATTGACAATATTAATAATTAGGAAAAAAATAGCAATCAATCAAATTAGAATATCACTAAATTAAAAGCACCAAATCTAAAAACTTTTGACTTCTTGAATGGAAATTGAGAAGAATGGAATCAAATTTAATTCATTTCCAAAACAAAATTAAAAAAAAAAATAAAGATGATCTAAAAAAATTGAACTATTTTTTGTCTGATCCCTACCGATACTCTCCTCTCGAATCATTTTGTATGTATTAATTTCCTTTATTTTTCAGAGCAGTCGATTTTGAATCGTACCGACATCTTGGTGCAATTCATTTGGATCAAAATGGTCATTTTTTTTTACTCGTGTTTAGTCAACACACGAAACATGAAAAGGTGAGATGTCTTATTGTGATTTAGTCAAACGATGTTGGTCTGTTTTTGGAAGAATGTATGTAGCAATATGTATTCAATTGAATTCTTGGTTGGTTCAGTGGTTACATCTGGACTTTTGTACTAAGCCGTCCTCAATTTTGACTTGAGGACTGTTCTAAGTTCTTTATATCTATGGGTATGCCATTCTGCACATGCCCAAACAGACAACCATTGTATTTGGACCCTTCTTCAACATTCTTCTTCTTCCCATACTTTTCTAGTCAATATAAGAGAATGTCTTACATTTTGATATATATACATTCAATCTATGATCTATATATAGAATGCATAAATCATATAAATACATGAATGAAATCAAGCATAATAACAAATTCAATTCAATTGATTGAACCATAATATTCGATGGTTATGTCAATTCTAAGTTTAGCCATGCATATTCAAATAAAAAGGTTTCATACCAAAATATATAACCAAGTTTAAAGGATATAAAAAAGAAAGACAAATTAGATTCAGCATGGCGATATCTTGTTCCTAGTGGTATCTCCACGATCTTGAGTCCTGAAAATCACTCTTCAAGTTCTAAACTCATCCTCCAACTTCCAAATGTGAAACTTTGGTCATTTGGTATATATATAGAAAATAAGATAGTGTTGAGACACCTAAGCGAATGAAGGATAGTGTCGAGATACTCTACTGCGACGTTAAGATGTTAAGGATGAAAACTCCCCGGCTTTGTGGCAACATTTTGGGCATAGAGACGTTGAAATCTCGGGATTTATGACTTGAATCATTCCTACTAGACATGTTGTACTCCCACTTGAATCATTCCCTACTTTTCAATCGGTTCTTCTATTTACACCCAATTAGTTTCAATTTCATCATCATTCGTCCTGAAACCAAAATCATTGGTTCGGTCCTGATCAAGGGGGTGTATTACTCAAATCCATACCAAAATCATTGCAATATCCCTTTCTAAAATCAATAGCAATCGAGAAACGACACAAAACTCGTGTGAAACTTACCCCGTGGAGGCTCTCACACAGCAACATAAAGCTTCTGATTCCCCCTCTCCATCCCATAAACACGCGACAAACACCCAATAAGACCATCTATTCAACACCTAACCACGAATCATCTAACAAAGAATCCAACCAAACCAATCCAATCCATCAGAAAACATTCCTACCATAATGCATCTCAGATAGCTCATTTACAAGAGCAAGGAGGCCTGATAGGAATTTGTCCAGCCATTTCTTCCCTTGCACACAATACTTATCAATTATGTGGTTGAACTACTATTCAATTCAATTTAATCAATAACCAAGATTTTAAGTTATAAAAGCCATATTTGAAGTTCCTTTCTTTTTCACGGTAAAGAACAAACCAATACCAATAATCTCAGTTTATGAAAGAAATTGAAGAACGCTGGGTGTTTCTAACTGCCATCATTTTCTCGCTTTGGTGGGTCTGAACTAACAATGGGCAGATTTCTTCTGTATTGAGGTGATGTTAACCTTCTTTCCAATGGAGTTTTCCTCTTGCTGACTACAAACCTGTTGACACCTTTGCGCATTGGCATGATCGATGGAAAATCTTCGTCCGGAATCTGACTTAGCTCAGAGATGTCCTTGATCTGAGCAACACGACGGAACCATCTTTGCACTTTAGCCTCCTCTGACATGTCCAATGGATCTGGTTCAGTGACCGCTGAACCCTCCAAACTTTTTCCACTCCATTTCTCTCTTACGTTTGGCATCTCGGATGCTGGAGACGGATTTCCCGCTACACTTGTGTTGTTATTCGCCACATTCTTGTGACCAGGTTGAGAGCTAACCAAATTTGTGTCTAGACTTTGAATGTTGGGTACTCCGTATGCTGTAGCTTCATCGCTCCGACTGGAATTCCGTGTATGGAGTTCTGAGTTGAACCTGCCTGCTTGAGTTTCTAGATTATCAGACTGTTGAGAGTTACTTCTATCATCGATACCAATGCTAGTGTCGTATGACTGAGCTTCAGTCACTTGACCATTTGAATCATCTGAGAAGGTCTCAGTCACTTGACTATTTGAATCATCTGACAAGGCCTTATCTTTTTTTGCAAAATAGTCCGGTGGGAAAGGAACAAAGGGGACAAAGTTGGAACTGCCAGCTTGCTCCATGGCAGCACGCCTCTTATAAGCTGGAGACGTTAAAGAGCGGTCTTTCTTCTTACTGACAACAAATCTATTTTCTCCCTTGCGCATTGGCATGATCTCAGGGAAGTCTTCATCAGAAATTGCACTAGGAAGATCTGTCACGTTGTGCAGTTCGGCAACCCTTTTAAACCATCTCTCAGATTTTTCAGTTTCCTCCTTCCCTTCATTAATTTTCTGAGTCGGATTCTGCGGTGGAGAAGGAATATCTCCTACTTCGTTCAATCCATTGCTCTGGGAAGTACTGCCTGTCCACTCATTAGAGCTTGATGGAAGGGATTTGTTATTATCAGTACCAACTACCTCACTCTCCATGCTTGAATTCTTAGGCTTTTTCGCAAACATATCTGGGGGTAATGGAACAAATGGAACATAACTGGAATTACCTCCTTTCGGGGACTCATATTGCGAAGAACCTGAAGTGGATGATAAAGTATAATTGGTACGAATACCTTGCTCGTTTCCAAAATTCGTGGATTGAGAATTAGTGGATAGGCGACCAAGAATGTCATCATGGCTTGTTGTTTTGTCAAGAGAATTGTTAGAAGCAGACAGTTCACTGCTGTTATTTTCTGGAACTCCATCGTTGCCCAAATTTCTTCTGTATTGAGCATTAGCCAACCTCCTCTCCAGAGGCGTCTTCCTCGTGCTCACAACAAATCTGTTAACTCCTTTTCTCAATGGCATTATTTCAGGGAAATCTTCATCTGTTATTGAGGAGCCCGAATCAGAAGTACTGTCCAGCTGAGAAATCTTACTAAACCAGCGCTGAGCCTTCTCTTCATTTGCAGCCAACTTACTATCGATATCAACCTTAATTGTGTGACTTCCATTGTCATTCCCTAAACCAGAATTTATGTTAATGTTACTGAGAGATGGAGGCCCTGGCCTTTTGCAATCACACCTTAAGCACACTGTATTCCTCCCATAATTGAAAAAATCACATCTGCCAAAGTAATCAGAATGAAAGTTTAATTTAGTCATTCAGAACAGGGGAAATGGAAAGATGTATCAAGTCTGAGAAAGTAGAGAATCACTCCGTACTGAGGGCATTCCCATTCTCCACCAATCAGCTGTCGCTTTGGTCGGGCCTCCTCGCATTCAAGGCATTTCACATTTCTTGCGAAGTTCATGAAACTACATCTACACTCGTAAATATCCAAAACAGATTATCTCAGTAGGGCACAAACATACTTTACGTGCTAGATCAGAATACAGCAAAGATACAACCAGAAGAGGCACAAACATTTGAAGATACAACCATAGCAGTATAAAAGGTAGCAAAATAAATGAATATCTACCTTGGACAAATCCAGTCCCCTCTTTTCATTTCAACTTTTGGCCCATACGGCCCACGTGATTGGCTATATTTGTCAGAAAATTGATTGTCTGTCTCCAAAAGCTTCGGATCTGGATTGCTAAAACAAAGCTTGCATATTTCACTTAACAGATTCCTCATAGATGATTCTACCTGATCTCTACTGTACAGATTACTTTCTGAAGAAACAGTCGGGTTTCTGGCATAGCTCAAGATAAATTTGAATAAATCAATCGTCCTTGCTTTATCAGAATCCAAAACCTACCAATGGTGATAGCACAAGTGAATATTGTGAAGTGGTTTTAACACTCGCAAAATCAGGGGCTGGAATAAATGAAGTAAAAATGGAAATAGAAATTCTTCTTGATGAAAGAATTAATCCATTGCTATATGGGAGGCAGAAATATAAACCTAATTAAAGTTGGATATTTGTAAACAATAAAGTCAAAACATGAACTAATCACAGCTAAAAAGGCTACGACACTTTAAAAAACAAACAAAAACAGTACACTCATTTCCTCTGTGCGCTTCCAACCACATTTTGCTTCCTTAGTAAAAACCCTTTTAACCATGGCAAGGTATCCTTGTCTCCCAACCCAAAGCCTAAGGGTTACAAAAATGTCCCAAGTTGCAATCAATGCAAGAAACAGAGTTATTATAAAGGTTCGTATTCTCAAGTGCTCCCCATATCTTGCAGTGTACTAAGTTCAACAGACTTTGGTATCACAAATTTCTCACGGTGTACACATTATGGTCTTTCTTTTCAAGGACAGTTATTTGCATTAAATTGAACATTAATTTGAGAAATTAAAATCAAATTAATAGGACTTGAGTTAGAAGAGTTTGTACTCGACTTTCTTCTCAGTATAGTGTCTTTCATCCTTCTTCATTTCTAGGGGCTTGATTGCTACAGTGTATCTTCAAACTTATCCAAGAAGGAATTTGAAACTTTTGGTACCATGAAATGTCATTGGTGCATTCCGTATTATTAAATCTCATAGAGACCTAATTGTTTCCGTAAGTGAGTAAGGGACTGCAATACTTGGTCACTGCTATCTCCCCTTGCCTCCAGTCACGTAACCACCTTCAATTTCAAAAGACTGGTATTTCCTAGATCATCAAATGTTTCCTTGTTTGCATCCAAATTTTCCATTGCAAATTCATATAAAAAACAGGGCAGGAACTTCTTCCCTGTCTCAGTAATCATAAAATTGATGAACCAACACGTCATCATGTTAATCTCTGCTTTCGTCATCTTAACTCCAGTAACATTTCACTTTGTACTTGTTCCAAGAATATAGTCATCCCTTCTCCTCTTGCATACAAACATTAGAACTAATCATGAACATGATAGATAATTGCATCCATTAAGCTTGTGACTAGTTATAGGACGCATAGACAACTATGAGATCCATGAGCTAGGGGTGTGGTACTTGGTGGAGCCTAATAAGAAAAGATATGGATATGGATACGAGACACGGATACGACATGACATGTACATTGTGACACGTCATTTATCTAGGATATGAACACAACAAAGACACATTTATTAAAACTTCCACTTAAAAAAATATATTATCATTTTTATCCAAGACTCCCTTAGTTTGATGTGTTATTTGGTCACTTAGATAGTGTCAATGTTAATATAGCCCCCTGAGATCAAAAGAGCACTCTAAAACACTTCTGAAACAAACACAAGCAATTATGAAGAACTAACAGATACTAATCTGGAATCCATACTTACCTGAGTTTCATCGCCTTGTAAGAACAACTTCATCTTCCTCAATGAAGCATCCCCGTCTCTGAACAGACATGGGTTCACGCTTTCAACCAACACCTCAATATCCCTCCTAGGAAGCAATCTGCCACAGTAAAAATAAATAAATAAACAAATACAAGAAGGTAATGATCGATAACAAATTGGCTTCCTTTTAGTATACAGAGCACAAAACGAACCCTAAGAGATGTTCACGGCCGCGGGAAAATGCCAAGCACGCATTAGCCGCATTCACAAACTCAGCTGGCAGCTCCTGAACAGCGACGAACTCATTCCCAGAACCCGGACTACCAAAATAGCCACCGGAGTCGAGGCTCCCGAGGAAATTGGACCATTCTCGCCAAATATAAGAATCCGGAGAAAACACGCCATTGACGGACCCAGATTCTTCAAAATTCCCGAACTCATCCCCTGGAGTGGAGACCTGGGAATGGACATGGCGAGAGGCTCTAATTAGGGGAAAGGAAGGGGATAAGAATCTGTTTCTGGGCTTAAGAGAAGATCGGAAGAAGTTGTGGTAGTGAGAGGCGAGGCGGAGAAAGGAAGGGCGGCGGTGGTGGTGAATGAGAGGAAGAGGAGTGGATAGGAGGACGAAGAACCTGGTGGCTCCGCCCATTGCGGCAGAGAGAAACGGTGGCGAGTGGAATCGGAGATAAACCCTACGGTGAAGATAGAACCACGAGAGGGAGAGTATTTGTCCAGCCCATGACCATGTGGTTCATAACTTGGAGTTTTCCGGATATGGGTTAATTTCAAAATTAATTTTTATTTCAAACAAATAATAGTAAAAAAGTAAAAAAAAAAAATCAGTGACATTTTTTTTAAGATTAACCTATTGTGCATCGTCCCGATTGCTATTCTTGAACTTTTATAGGAACAGAAGAGGTCGGTGTTTATTTGGTTCTTTATCCTTCATCTAATTTTACAAGGTAAATAGGTGTTCAGATTCTCCTAATCCTCCATTAGACTTCTTTCACTCGTATTTTACTATCTCTTTTGACTTTTTCACTCGGAGAACAGACTTTAAACAAATAGATTCACCAAGCGTAAATGGAAACTCATTCACTTCGTAAACTCGTGTCTTTTTTTTCTTATGATATCTCTTCCTCTTTTTCTTAGTGATACTCATAGGGTGACTCGATTATTGTGAACCGAAAGAGGTAAAATAATTTTGTTTGGAAGAAGATTTAATGAATTGCGTTGTTTTTTTTTTTTTATTGATTTGGGAATAAATTGATTTTTGTGAGAGAATTTGGTTTGTGGGCACTAGTTTTGGAAGTAGTAGGGAGATTTTGGATGCAGGGCTTTTGTCAAAGTGATGCCTAATACATTGGCCAAATTGGAGCAAAGATGATCACCCCATGCCAACACTCATGAAGCTCTTAATTACATCCACTTAATTCTCCAACAAATCTAAGCTTTCAACTACCCAAACCAAACCAAATATTCCTTCTGTGATTGATATGGAACCGAAATTAAATACAATTACTCTAAATTACTTTAAACGGTAGCCCACCCAAAATTTATAACAACCAAACTTCATTCTTCTTTAACGTGGCATGAATTGAAACATCTTTTGATAATTTTGACAACATTTTCTTCACATCTTCATTGAATTATATTATATGATTGATGTCTTTTAGTTCATATCAGTGATGCTAGTTCAAATTAGGAGCATATGTATAGATAAATCGACACCACATCAAAATGAAAAAAAATCTCATGACTCTGCATGATATGGTTAAGGTGCACTTTATCCTTGAATGACTCGATAATAAGAACTTTAAGATTTGAAACAATTATATGATGGGTAATCTCATTTTTTTTTAAGAGAACATTTAGATAAGCCCAACACATGCTGATGGGATAGTTTTGATCTATAAAGACAGTCTTCACTTGTACAAGCTACTGTAGATTATAGTATAATAATCTAACCCGATTGGAGGAGAATATCGGATTTAGATTCTGAATCATGATCTAAAATCTTAGATATAGAGCGTTACCAGTTCTAAATATATAGATATACATATAACCATTTGATCGATCAATTGGCATGTGTAATGGCATGCACAAACGAATTACACTCGTAAAACATTAATCCCCCGAAGTAAAAAACCCTAACCGAATCAAATCATCAAAAGTTGCTGAATGAAAGACACAACTTCAGCGTCGGAACCCCTAGCCATAGCCACCGTGTCGACTCCGCATGCCTCCACCAGGTCCGTGGAGGGTCCGGCGTGGCGCCCACCGTCGTAGGCCTGAAAAATGTGGTGGAAGTAGTTATGGTGGTGGTGGTCGCCGTCGTGATCGGAGGGAGGATGGTAGTAGAGGCGAGCAGTTTGCGGACAGTGAGCGTGAAATCTGGCGGCCATTCTCACTCCAACATCCAACAATTCAACGAATTTCCCCATTGATGTCTTTGATGAGAAATAAAGAGAGGCAATGAAGACGAGGAGAAAGAAATCGATTTGGGATATGAAGATTGGGGCAAGAGCCGGTTTATATAGCCTGCCGATTTTTTGACTCCGCGTCGGGTTTATTCCTACTTGTTCAGAATTTCTTTTTTTGTTATTGCAATGGAGGGCTTCTTTTGTTCTTATTTGCTATTTTCACCTGCCGATTTATTTCTTTAAATTTGTAAAACTAGTACTCTTTTTTTTTTTTTTTTAATTAATAAATTTGGCCCCTAATTTAAATTATTATTCGAATATATTTTATACAGAATCAATTAGATTTTATATATTTTATCTTATTTTTAGATTTGGTTGTTAGAATATTTTCTTTCTAATTAGATCAAAATTAAAAAAATGTAAAAAAAATAATTAAACCTTTCAATTTCATTAAATTAGACCCTTAATTTAGTTAAATTTGCTGCTCTATTTTTCTTAATTAAAAGTAAAAATAAATAAAGATTCAAATTATCAATATGTTAAAAATTTAAAGTCTAAAATAGAACAATTTTTTTTTTTTTTATTAAAATGGGATGAAATACACTATTAATAAACCAAAATTAAATTGCAAATACAAAGAAGAAATGGAATTTAAAAAAGTTTTGGGCCAAAAATGAAGGACAAGGAAGATGAAGGATAAATGTATAAATATATGAAAACAAAGGGACCATGACCGGCCGGGTTTCCACGCTTCTTGGACCATTTTGTGTATAATTTGTCCATTTGGGAGTTCCAAAGGCCAAAAAAATCCAAATTGATGGCTCCAAAACTCTAGTTTTTCCGCGTTGACCTTTTCAATATACGTTGACCTTCAGCTATCCCAAACGTTGAGGACCATTTGACTTCAATATTATATTAATTGGAGTGCTATTTTGAAATAGGTTTAATTATATAAAACGAATATTTTAATCCCGACTTCATCAACCAAAGTGAGCATAACTCAACGATATTTTCTTCCCTTAAAGTTGAAATTTCGAATCTTCAAATTCTCACCCTTAGTATGCTAAAAAATTACTTTATTATTTTAAGAATTTTATTTTTACTCTTGACGTGAAGTCAAATATTAAAAAAAAAAAAAATACAAAAATAAGATTTGGTAGGGAGGTGTAAGAACACGAATATACATGGACATGGTTCAACTATGTCTAGTGGAGTGTGTTTGATGAGTTTGTTAGATGTGCATTAAATTTGGGTGAGTTAGGATCGTTTGTTCTGGCTTTAAATTGTTAGTTTGGTGAGTATTATGACATTGTATTTTAAGTAGCTTCGATCATTAACTTGAGAGCTATGGAATGCGTTAGGTGGGTTTGTAGGATTTGAAGTGCGTTTAATTTGGTGAGTTCGTAATATGTGGAGTGAATTTAGTTGAGTTAGAGGGTTTGGTGAGTTCATGGCATGTGGGGTGAGTTAGGCACTTTAGTTGTGGAGAGTTTGATCGTCATGGAGTATGTTTCGGTGAGTTCTTGTGGTTTAGAGTGCGTTTGAGTGAGTTGATTTAACATATTTTGTTTGGCTTTTAAGGGATAATTAGTTTAGGTCAGTTTCTTGGATTTGAAACGTTTGTCGAGTGAGTTTGTGCGATGTAGAGTGAATTTAAGTGAGTTAGGGTTGTTCGTGTTTGGCTTTGAATGATTAATTTGGTTTTTGTTTTTTTTTCCGACATTTAGGTACTTAAGGAATGTGTTTTGGTTAGTTTATTGGATTGAGATTGTGTTCGGGAGAGTTAAGCATATTTTCTTTGACTTTTAAAAGCTAATTAATTTAGGTGCGTTTTGAGTTAATTTAAGTATAAATGAGTGAAAACATGCCATTTTTAAGATACTAACGAAAAGATATACATTGTTAGTATAGATAATAACTATCAGTTCTTTTGAGCATTTCGTAACTATCTGTCCTATTCTCATAAGAATTATTCTCGTTCAAATATAATCTATTTATATAACTTTCTTTTATTCGGGTGTCATAATAGTATCAAAAGAGATATTTTTATTCGAGTACTAAAAGAAATTGAGAAGAAAAGAAAAGCATAACGAGCCGTATCAACTTAAGTTATATTACTATTCTCGAGCTCATTCTCAATGTTCTCAGCCACTTTCTGAGTGATATTCTCCTTTGCTTCTCCATCTCCAACATGATCATGACTCGAAACTATCGCATCGACCCAGCAGCGGAGCTTCTTAGTGGCTACTTCGTCTAACCTAGGGACAGTATGACCTTGAGGATGCCTTTATGATGAGAGGCTCATGAAAGGTAGAAGCAAGTTCTTTAGAAGGAAGCTTCAACCAATCCTTTTCCCCTATCAGGTGGACAAATTTGACCTTTATTTTGTGCTTGTAGGCAACCTCACAGATGCTTTCATCTTTGAACTTTGTTCCTGGTATTGACACAAACATTTTCATTGTTGGATGCTCCTTCAACACCTTCCCCTGTTTCGTTATTTTTGAACTACTTACGATGTTACGATATGGGTAAAAAATGATCGTAAATTTAGTGTTGTTTATTGATTTTGACTGAATTTGATATATTGAGTTAGGTTCATTATGGGTATCAATTACAGTAGTTAGGTTCATTTTAGCGGTAACATCATTTCAGGTATGCTAGATTTGTTGGCGTTAATTAAGACGTACCTGTGCTTGGTAACCCAACAAGAGTGCTGACAATACCGCGCCCGGGATAAAAGATTAAAAAATTAAAATGAATTAAATTATGATTAAGAGTAAAATTAAGGTAAATTGAAACCATTCAAAATAAGGAGGTGGAAAATATCCTTCGATCTCTGATTTTCCTCCGGCTGGAAATATAGCATCTGGAAATTCCTATTTCAATATACAAAAATAATTATATAATTAGAAAATTTACAAAATAATGTTTTAATAATGAGTAAATAAAAAAGGAAAATAGCATATGAAAGTGAGCGAAAATGGAAGGATCCCAACTACCAACTGCCTCCCTCGTGGTTACCCTTCGTCCATACGTTTTGCCTATCAATATCAATATCAATATCAAAATACTACCGACCTTCAATAATCGTATCAAACCCATTCTTAAACAAAAATTCAACTTGTCAAGTCTATCATTAAAACATTTGAAAATAATTTACTTTAGGAAACAATTTTTAGGCTTTTTTTTTTTAAAACTAATTATAAGAGCACTTTTTAACGATCTCATTACAATTCATGAAAGCTCAAGAGTATTTTTTTTTTTTTAAGACAAAATGCAAAATTAAAAGGTATTTTTAATTAATATATTAGCTAATAAACGAAAACCAACAATATGCTATTTTGCATTCTCTAAGTTAGTGAAA